ACTTAATATCGTAGACCTAATACTTTTTTATGGAAATTACATAAATGGCAGCGGGAATAGCATGGTAATTTCGTTTGCTATACTATAACTATCTAAAACTGTAATGACTCATCGATGTTCACGTGAACATCACTTAACTACCAGTAGTCGGCTGTTCATAGGCGGGGTATGAATGTTTAACATGGGTGAACTAGATTTGTCACATGCTTAATAAAGAGTGGTTTGAAACATATTGTAAGTCAAAAATTTGGGAATTACCTTTATTCATCGTCGCTTCCACTTACATCTGACAGTAATAAACTGTCGCTATCGCTTTCCTCGTTGAAATTGACTATAACTGGCTCTATGATGGTGTCGATGTGGTGGTCAAGCTGCCACATTTTTGTTTCTTCCTTCACAACATGACGGATAGCATTCTGCCAAGCTTCGGGCGTTACTAGCTGTATGGAAGACTCAAGTAAAACCTTAACGTCTGGTAATTTGAAGGTTGTGTTATGGCGCGCAATATAACCCTTCACTTGAGCCCAGATGAGCTCTATTGGGTTCAGTTCACAGTGATAGGGCGGTAACCGCAGCACAGTGACACCACATTGACGGGCCATCTCATCAGTCACGTAACTAATGTTCGCAGGTTTGTGCTGTTTAATTTTTTCATACAATTCCGCTTTCACACATGAATCGTCAAACGGGATTCCTTTTTCGCGCAACCATTGCTGCATGTCACTTTTTCGAGATCCCATAGTCGGTACACGTTCGGCTCGACGACTATGGTAGGAAGCATTATCCATGACGATCACAGAGTTGGGCTCAACTCGCTGAAGCACCCCTTGAAACCAGCTCTCGAAGCAGCTGGCATTCATTTCGTCATGGTAATCACCTCCTTTCTTAGAGACGAAAATCAAGTCCCACTCTTCTAAAAAGCCACTATCGCTACCAATATGAGTTACTATCAATCTTTGACCTTTTCCTGACGGTCCACGAAGACCTGTTGACAAACCTTCAATGCTTGCTTGTCGGTTACTCACTACGTTTTTGTCTATCCAGGTTTTTTAACTGTGTGACCTGCATTTACCCATGTCTCGTCCAAATAATAGATTTCTCTGCTTTGTCGCCTATATTCAATCATTTCGCGTAGGTATTTTCGACGCCAGGCGACTATTTCAGGTCTCTCTATCAATACTGACTTCCGATTACGCGTTTCGTAACGAAAATTAGTTTCGTGCAGGGATTTCCTCATTACCTCTTCGCTCATTTGGGGTATAATTTCATTTTCCTTGATCGCTGCATGTACAGCCTTGAGGGTTGGTATCTCATTCCTAAAGAAGAATGAATGTACGGTTCGCCTTAACGCCATTTTGCTATCGTCATCCAATTTAACGGCCTTTCGTCCCTTCAAATTAAACTTTGGATCAGTAGTAGCTCCAGTTTTCTTCTTTTCATGCACCACCCTGCGAATGGTCCACTCTGGAACGCCTGTCATACTTTCACAACCCGCGAGTGCATCTCCCTGCGACATAGTTCTGTTCAGATAATTGAACACGTTGAGCACGATTTCTTTCGCGTCCCTCTTCAGTGCTTTACGAAGCCGTCTACTTGTTCCCTGGCTTTCAGTACTTCCACTCATGCCATTTGTACTCTCCATGGTTAAGTATAACCAAAAAAGTAACCACAACAATAACAATCACACAGCAATTCTTATAAAAACACACAATATGCGATCGCTCAACGAAACACCTTCCAATACGTTGCCGACGCCTATGAGTCTGCCGGTCGAGGCGCGTCTTTGATTTCATTGGTTCTACCGGCGGAGAACAATCAGCCATTATTTCCTTCTCTGTATGTGCTGTTGACCACCGCAAAGCCACAGAAACGACATCTGTCGTACGCTATACGGCTGTACTGGAAGGAAGCCGGGATCGAGCTCTGATCACGTGTTGATCAAGCGTATGAGTCATTACAGTTTTAAATAGTTGTAGTATAGTCGGTTAAGTGACAAAAAAAGTAAAACGTTTATTAGAATTCAAGAATTTTTTAGATATCGATTTATCTTGCCATGAACAAGTGATCAAATGGTCAGGTTTCTCTGTTAAGTTTTTGTGGCGGCTGTGTGTATTGTTTGGTGATGAAGAAGCATTCGGTTTTCGTACATTTACGGTGTCAGTTGAATGTTAAATTTCGCGTAGCTTGTTGAGTGCGTAGAATTCACCGGCTGTCCAGGCTAAGTGACTTTGAGAGGGGTCGAATTGTCGGGATGCGTGAAATCGGTCTATCGATAAGACGGGTTTCTAAGCGGACCAACAGATCCTTAAGCAGTGTACTGCAGTGTGAACGAGCGTGGACTCACAGGCCGAGGACAGCGAGCGAGAGGTTTTGGAAGTCCCAGGCGTGTCAATGAGTGTATAAGAAATCGTGGATCCTCAACACATTATTAAACCAGCAGTCAGTCGACGAATCAAGGTGAAAATTTAATCATTTTACTAGTAAGGGACACTGAACATATATGCGAAAACTTACTTAAACATACGGACCTTTTTGTCACTCAGAATAGTATGGACTGCCTCATAGGATTATGAAAATCATCACGGGTATTTTTAAAAAATAAAATTCTTACTACAGTGGACCACCGATAATTCGACCCCCTGTAATCCGACATGTCTTCGAATATTACATACATACGTATTTGACAATCTTCGCTAATGTAGATCACGCAGGTTTGAACAGGTTACAACTTGTACGCGCCACCGCTATCGTGCTCGACGCGTAAGCATTATTTTACTTAGTTTGAATTTGAATACTTGAGATAGCGGTTCGGCCTAGCGTGCGTTCATTGTTTACTATTTATTCATTGTGTATTAAGTATAGTACCTAGTAATGTCATCACAAACTCAGAAGCGAAAGCACAAAACATTGACAATTAAAGAAAAATGTGATATTTTAGACCGCTTAAATCGCAATGAAACTTTCAGTAGTTTAGCAAGTGAATACGGCGTAGGCCGATCTGCAATTTATGACATTAAAAGAAACCACGAGAAGATCAAGAGGTTCGTGTCAACTACTGACTGCGGGCCAGCCAAGAGACAGACACTCAAGAAAGCTGAACATCCAGAAGTGGAAAGAGCTTTGTACATGTGGTGTCTTCAGGAAAGAAATAGGCATGCAATTTCAGGACCCATGTTGGCCATGAAAGATAAGTTCTTTTATAAGGAAATAACAAAAAAGATGATTTTGTGGCCAGCAAAGGATGGCTTGAACGTTTTAAAAGTCGTCATGGCATACGTTTAATGACTATTACAGGAGAGAAACTTTCTAACGATGCCACCTGCATAGAGCCGTTTAAATTAAGATTTTTGCAAAAGGTAAACGATTTAAATCTTGACCTGTCACAGGTGTACAATGCAGACGAATCAGGGCTTTTTGGCATGTGATGCCTAACAAAACTTTCCTTTCTTGTAACGAAAAATCCGTTACTAGGACTTCAAACATCATTGAAGCTTATTCCAAAACTCTGCGATACCATTCAGACTACTTTCATTCAAGCGACAGTCACAAGAGCATGGATACTTCTTCGATATGTTTTTAAAAGGATAGTACTGCCTATTTTGACATATATGTTAATATTCCTCGGTACTACCTAACCAAAATTCACCGACCGTTATCTTTCTATCGATCAATTAACAGCTTTAAATTTCGTCAACATCAATCAAACCCGAACTCAATTACCAAACAACTACTGTTGCAATGTAATTATTAACCCGATCATCTCCTGGAACAATATTTGTTTCGGAGGCATGGCAGAGCCGGCAAGGCAGTCGGTTTAGCTTAACACATGAATAATCGCCTACTTGGATCTATGCTACAGCATCGGCTGTCTATTGTTTCCGGGGCCGTAAGTCTTGGATTAATCTAATACCGGCGGCTTTCTGACCGGTCGGCACGGCCTGTTTTCCGGATACGGATATTCCATTCCGATTGCGAATCGGATGCAGTATGCAGCGCTTGTTTAACAGCTTGCCACAATACACAATCGTGTCGAGGAGCTTAGAATAGTTTGAGGATGGCGGGCTTGACATCCGATTAGAGATTATTAAGGAGGAGATCGGCATTGCTCGCGATTAACGTTGGGATGACTAAACGATAAACAGTAGTAGCGCTTCAAAACGATGCATAGGCAACGACTTAGTTTAAATATAGAGCAGGATATTTACGAGTTGATCTACGAGCCCCTTACCACTTCAGTTGACCCACTTCAAGATTTGTACCAAAATATGCCTTTATAAACTACACAAAGCTTTTTCTTCTATTTTTTTTATCTGCTTATGTGACTGTTTTAACTTTTTTGCTAACAAACCACTAAAATATGACCTTAAAACTGCACAACCTTCAACTAAAATCCTACTTCAATGAATAAACTGAATCGTGATCGTGTGAACCGACCACGACTCTCGACCGGTTCACTATTCATCCTCCATTCAAGACAAAATTCGTGATCGAAAACGTATCACGTTGCTATCTAGTACATACTGCATCTAGGAGACCATGGAAGGAGGCTTCCAAATGTCCAAAAACGTCAGAAAATAATGACCAGAACATACATAATGTTATTGCCTTTCCGGCAGCATCAAACCACTGGTTCTCAACTTCCTTTGTTGTGGAAAATGGATCTTTAAGTGCCTGTTGCCTCAAATAACGATCCTGTCGCTCTGTAGCCTGTCTTTGACCTCGAACTCGTCGATTTTGGCCTTCTTGGATCCACGCTCGACAACATCTCATTACAGTAGCTTCGTTTCCCCTCTCAAACTCGGAAAGTTAAGTGAAATTATCGCGTCTGCGAACTCTAGTCTTGATAATGCAATGAAACAACAATGAAACAAACGAAATATTAAGGAAACACGTTCATATTGTTCGGATCCTGATATAACAAAAAAAAGTACGGATCGGGATGCCTTCAGCATTTAATTAGCGTATATGCCACAGAAAAATCTGTACAAAAATTTTCTTACCTTGTAGGATCCCAGGTTTTCCACGACACACGGTAAACTTGCATCTCTGCCCAAAGCTACCGTTACATTTGGTATTGGCTCTGCGAACTTCGGATCATCCGTTATAGCTGGAACAGAAAAGATTTCATTAAAAAATTTAATAGTGTTGACATTCCTTTGTAGCGTCCTATTCCTCCGGACATTTTTATACCGAAGACGGAAGCCCAAATACCAGAGCACCGAAGCTGATATGAAAAGCTTAAAGAAACTCTGCTGATCCAATTTTCAAACTGCCTAAGGCTAGTAGAACTAGGAAAAGCCTTATCAGGTAGATTGTTTATGTAATCGGGCTGGCAGCACCCCATGCATGTGAAAAATACTCGAGACTAGGTCATATCCGATCGTACAGGAAAGGAGATCGTAGACATGTGAATGGAACAATGTCGGAGCCAAGGCCGATCCCTGCGGAACACCCGCGTTGACATTGTGGGATGAAGAGGCGAACCCGTCAATTACGATGTATATTGGTATTAGATCCAGATTTCTGGAATAGTGCCGGATTAGTACGATATCTGGAAGAGACGCGAAAGAACAGGAGCAAGCCCCGCTGTTCTACTCTTCAGAACAATAGCAGGAATCAAGTCCGAACTAGAAGCTTTGTTGATGCCAAACGACAAGAACACCTGTCTTAAAGTCTTATGCCTGAAGGTTGCTTCCCGCATTGAGAGGCTTCTTATATACTAAGTGACATATAAATCCGAACACCAGTTTTATTTTAATAAAATTTTGTATAAGTACTTAATGAAGCATAATAAGTAAATGATAAAAATTTCAAAATGATTGCACTGCTTTAAAGCCCTTTGACCTTTAATAATGTGTGGATGCACCCTGATGTGCTACGCATTCTCCAACGCGCCTAGGCATGCTTCTGAAAAGGTGGTCAATGTCCTCCTGTGGTATCTCATTCCAGGCAACCACCAACTCCTCTCGAAGTGCTTCTAGAGTCTGAGGAGGACGTTGCAAATTGAGCAATCTCCTACCCATCATATCCCACACGTGCTCAATTGGGGATAAGTCGGGAGATCTTGGTGGCCATGGTAACAATGTGACATCATTATGTTGAAAGAAGTCTATTGTGACTCTTGCAACATGTGGTCGGGCATTATCTTGTTGGAAAGTTGGATCTGGCAGGGTGTCAAGATAGGGTATATAACGCTGCGAGTTCATGTTACCTCTGATGAAGATTAAAGGTGACCTGGAACCATAAGCTATAGCACCCCAAACCATTACTCCAACAGTGTGATGAACATGTCTTTCAACAAGAAACTGTGGATTCCTCCTTTCACCACGTCGCCTTCTAACCCTGGCACGACCATCGTGCATGCCTAAACAAAATCGAGACTCGTCACTAAAGACAATACTGTTCCATTCCTGTTCTCGAGTTAAAGGGAGGACCCAGTGTGGCCGGTATGAAAACAAGCCAAAACTTCTCATTCGTCGGTAAACACTTCGCATGCCAATAGGTCTTCCGTGTTCTGCAAACCATTCATTTGCAATGGACCTGGTAGTGGAGGAACGGTCCCTTAAGGCCAATAATCTTAGGCGGCGATCTTCACGGTCTGTTGTTCTACGGCGGCGTCCAGTGCCCCTTGCTCTTTGCGTACGGCCTTCTCGAAGCCATGCCTGACAACACCTAACCACAGTGTCTACACTTCTTTGCACTCTAACTGCAATTGCCCGAAAAGAAAGTCCAGCTTCCCGAAGTCCCACTATACGGCCCCTATCAAACTCACTAAGTTGACGAAATCGTACAGGTCTCCGTACTCTAGGCATCGTAACCGATCGTAAAGGATGTCAAGAACCAAAATCCGCCAACGTTGATTCTTTACTGCGGCTGCAATATTCATTTTTAGAGCGTTAGTGAATTAAAAAAAAGCAGTATAAAAACCGGAATGTCCAATTGATAAGGCTGAAAATTTTTTCACTTGTTATTTACAGTAAGATAAATACATTCACTAACTTTTATTAAAATAAAACCATTTAAACTGGGTGTTCGGATTTATATGGCACTGAAACAACTGCCGTAGTTTTCTCAAGGGTGTAGTCCAATTTGATCTCTGCTTTGTTAAAAGCACTGAACGTTATCTTTCAGTAATTTATCACGTTCTTAAAGCCTCATCTTTCTGTAATAGCTACTCAGCTCTTTGTGTTAGTTCTTGGTAATGTTTCCAATTCTTCTAAATGTTTATCATAGTTTCTCGAAAAATATTGGTGCATTTTTGCATCCAGAGCGAGTTGAGATATCTTTTGACATTTCTTAATTTCTTCGACCAATAACGACATTACGAGTATTAGGCAAAATAATTGGATACATTCCTGAAGATACCACAAATCAACATCGATACAAAACATGTAATCTCTAACCATCACATAAAAAACTGACCTACAATCACAAAAGGATGAGATAGCAACTATGAGATGTTGTCTCGATAGCAAGTTCTCCCTTTTAGGTCAATAATCAAGTCTGGAAGAAAGCGTCTAGAGTAACGAAACAAAACATACAATAAAAGTCTTTCTCATCAAGTTCATCAGTATCTGTTCAGTTGTTGCTTATGTAGATGCATGTAAACAATCACATTTCTGAAAATGAAATATCGTAACAGAGAATTGCGGAGAGATTCGAAATAATTGCGTTAACACCTTTTCAGCGATAAAAGCCGCTTTAATACCATCGTAAAACTTTTCCATGGAATTAAAAAGCATTAAAATGGAACTCGGAACCCGGCTACCTCCGTCACGAAGCCACAACGGAACGCCAGTAAAACGTACATATTTGAAGACGATGATTTTACGTTTGGCCAGCGGATTGCAGAAATTACTTCATTACAGTGAGTGCTGCCTCAACATCAATTATTTGAAATTATATGAGTAATCTTAAGAGCACAAGATGCATTTGAATGGGATGTTTCAAGCGCTTTTACTTGGTGAATCTTTTCATCATACAATCGATTTGTATTCAAGATATCCCAAAAGTATGGACAGATCCAAATATCTGCGAAACTTAAAATTGAATCACGCACCTAGTGGTTGATCTTGAATTTGACGTTGACATTCCGCTTGAAGGTTATCTCAAGGGCAAGTCGATTTTTGCAAATAGGAACCCTAATTTTTTATTGCGGAGATAGAGAGTCAGGAAATTTCTTTTTCAATGGTAAAAATATCAATTTCCATTTAGAGGTTATTTCAAGATCAATTGTTTTTCTTTCATGGAATGTTGTGAAACAGCGGACAGCCGGAAAAAAAAGTATATAAAGAAGAACTTTTGATGGAAAAATTGCAGGACACCCTGCACATCTGATAGTGATTTTCATTCTAACCGCGGCTACGACCTTGAAGGCGAATTCAAGGTCAAATTGATTTTTTTATATGGAAACCCTCAGTTTGGATCACAGCGCTGAAAATAGAGGAAAATCTCGTAATCAAAGGTTTAATTAATGGAGATGAAATCACACCTAGAGGTTATTTCAAGGTCAATTGTTCTTACATGGAATGTTGTGAGGTAGCAGATAGCTGCAAAAAGAAGGATATTAAAGAAGAATGTCTAATGCGAAAATTGGACGACACCCAACGGCACATCTGATAATGAGCTTATAAATGACCTTGGACGACGATTTAAGGTCACATAGATTTTTTCACATGGAAACCCTCAATTTTGATCCAAGCGCAGGAAATGCAGAAAAACCTTATGTTCAAAGGTTTAATTAACGCATGTAAAATCACACCTAGAGGCTTTTTCAAGGTCAATTGTTGTTTTTACATGGAATGTTGAGAAGCAGCGGATAACTAGAAAAGAGCAATATTAACGAAGGACTTTTAATGTGAAAATTGCAGGACACCTAAAGGCACACCTGATGGTGCCTTCATTTTGACTTTGAATATGACCTTGAAGGTCAATTTAAAGTCAAACAGATTTTTCCACATTTAAAGCCTCAATTTTCATCCAAGTACTGAAAATGAAGAAAAATCTTATGTTCGAAGGTTTAATTAACGAATGTAAAATCATATCTAGAGGTTATTGCAAGGTCAGTTGTTGTTCTTACATGGAATATTGAGAAGCAGCGGATAGCTGGAAAAGGGGAATATTAACGAAGGACTTTTAATATGAAAATTGCAGGACACCTAAAGGCACACTCGATGGAGCCTTTATTCTGACCTTTGGTATGACCTTGAAGCTCAATTTAAGGTCAAATAGATTTCTTTACATGGAAACCCTCAATTTTGATGCCAGCTTTGGAAATACAGAAAAATCTCATGTTCGGAGATTTAATTAGCGGGTGTAAGATCACAACTAGATATTATTTCAAGGTCAGTTGTTGCTCTTTCATGAAATGTTGAGAAGCAGCGGATAGCTGAAAAAGAGGAATATTAAAGAAGGACTTATAATATGAAAATTGCATCTAAAGGCACACTCGATGGTGTCTTTATTCTGACCTTTGATATGACCTTGAAGCTCAATTTAAGGTCAAATAGCTTTCTTTACATGGAAACCCTCAATTTTGATCCCAGCTCTGAAAATGCAGAAAAATCTCATGTTCAAAGATTTAATTACCAGATGTAAGATCACAACTAGATATTATTTCAAGGTCAGTTGTTGCTCTTTCATGAAATGTTGAGAAGCAGCGGATAGCTGAAAAATAGGAATATTAAAGAAGAACTTTGCAGGAGACCTAAAAGCACACCTGATGGTGCCTTCATTCTGACCTTGGGTAAGACCTCGAGCGTAACCCTCGCATTTGGCTATCAAAGTAATGTTAGCTGTCAATGTAATTGTCATTTCATCTCTTATGTCATTCGTTCGTTCTGATTCACCCTTGAGTCATGGTTTATCGAAATTAAACGAACAGTTTTAGGTTTTTTATGAGCATCGCATTCTAAACAACTAAATACAACTAAGGATGTAAATACTCCTTACTTTTTAAGCTGCCCAAGATATATGAGTCTAAAATTCAATTACAGAGTAAACATAAACCATACACCTGCAGTCTTTCGGGCAAACTGGATCTTCTCATGCAACATGTTTCTACAAATTTATTCTCCTTGCAAGTCTTGCAGTAAACGCAAGAGCCCC